AACTGCACTTCGATCTAATACCATAAATGTTCAATTCTTCAGAATGACATTGTTTTTTTTTTAGTCGATCGCAATTCCTTCTTTTATCTTAAGATTTAGGCTTCTCCGAAATTACGAATATTCCACGACGTTTTGTGTACTTTTTCAAAGTTTTTGTTCGAGTGTCCTGAGAAATTATTTCGAAACTGGCCCTTTCTTCAGGTAAATAACTGGAACACTACGATCTAACACCATAAATTTTCAATTCTTCAGAATAACATTGTTTTTTCAGTCGATCAAAATTCCTTCTTTTATCTAAAAATTTCGGCTCCTCCAAAATTACGAATATTCCACGACGTTTTGTGTGTTTTTTTGAAGTTTTTGTTCGAGTGCCCTGTTCAATTATTTCGGAACTGGCCCTTTCTTCAGGTAAATAACCGGAAAACTGCGCTTCGATCTAATACCATAAATGTTCAATTCTTCAGAATGACATTGTTTTTTTTAGTCGATCGCAATTCCTTCTTTCATCTCAAGATTTCGGCTTCTCCGAAATTACGAATATTCCACGACGATTTGTGTACTTTTTCAAAGTTTTTGTTCGAGTGTCCTGAAAAATTATTTCGAAACTGGCCCTTTCTTCAGGTAAATAACTGGAACACTACGATCTAACACCATAAATTTTCAATTCTTCAGAATAACATTGTTTTTTCAGTCGATCAAAATTCCTTCTTTTATCTAAAAATTTCGGCTCCTCCAAAATTACGAATATTCCACGACGTTGCGTGTGATTTTTTCTAAGTTTTTGTTCGAGTGTCCTGTTCAATTATCTCGGAACTGGCCATTTCTTCAGGTAAATAACCGGAACATTACGCTTCGATCTAACACCATAAATTTTCAATTCTTCAGAATAACATTGTTGATCGAAATTCATTCTTCTATCTCGAAATTCCGGCTTCTATGAAATTACGAATATTCCACGTCGTTTTGTGTGTTTTTTTCTGAGTTTTTGTTCGAGTGTCCTGTTCTATTATTCCGAAACTGGCCCTTTCTTCAGGTGAATAACCGATACACTACGATCTAACACCATAAATTTTCAATTCTTCAGAATAACATTGTTTTTTTCAGTTGATCGAAAGGAACATTACGCTTCGATCTAACACCATAAATTTTCAATTCTTCAGAATAACATTGTTGATCGAAATTCATTCTTTAATCTCAAAATTCCGGCTTCTATGAAATTACGAATATTCCACGACGTTTCGTGTGTTTTTTTCTGAGTTTTTGTTCGAGTTTCCTGTTCAATTATATCGGAACTGGCCTTTTCTTCAGGTGAATTATCGGAACATTACGCTTCGTTCTAACACTATACATTTTCAATTCTTCAGAAGAACATTGTTTTTTCAGTTGACCGAAATTCCTTCTTTTATCTCAAAATTTTGGCTTCTCCGAAATTTCGAATATTCCACGACGTTTTGTGTGTTTTTTTCTAAGTTTTTGTTCGAGTGTCCTGTTGAATCATTTCGGAACAGGCCCCTTCTTCAGGTAAATTACCGGAACATTACGCTTCGATCTAACACCATAAATTTTCAATTCTTCAGAAAAACATTGTTGATCGAAATTCATCATTTTATCTCAAAATTCCGGCTTCTATGAAATTACGAATATTCCACGACGTTTCGTGTATTTTTTGTTCGAATGTCCTGTTCAATTATTTCGGAACTGGCCCTTTCTTTAGGTGAATAACCGGAACATTACGCTTCGATCTAACACCATTAATTTTCAATTCTTCAGAATAACACTGTTTTTCGAAATTCATTCTTTTATTTCAAAATTCCGGCTTCTATGAAATTAAGAATATTTCACGACGTTTCGTGTGTTTTTTTATAAGTTTTTGTTCGAGTGTCCTGTTCAATTATTTCGGAACTGGCCCTTTCTTCAGGTAAATTATCGGAACATTACGCTTCGTTCTAACACCATACATTTTCAATTCTTCAGAATATCATTGTTTTTTTCAGTCGATCGAAATTCCTTCTTTCATCTCAAAATTTTGGCTTCTCCGAAATTACGAATATTCCACGACGTTTTGTTTGTTTTTTTCTAAGTTTTTGTTCGAGTGTCCTGTTCAATTATTTCGGAACTGGCCCTTTCTTCAGGTAAATAATCGGAACATTACGATCTAACACCATAAATTTTCAATTCTTCAGAATACAATTTTTTTAGTCGATCGAAATTTCGTCATTCATGTGAATTTCTACGAGATAGATATCGATTCAAATTAACAGAAAGTTAGAAAAATTGATTCTGCATGGGTTATAATTATTCACCAATGACAGTTTGATGAAAAAATCTGTAGAATTCTAAGAAAAATGGCTATATACAGGGTGTTTCATAATTGAATGCTGATCCTCAAGGGCGATAATCCTTGAATGATTTCGAAGAGAAAAGTTCATATCAGCATATGTCCTAAACCTCTTAGTTATTGAGCTACAGGGTGATGAAATTTCAAGAAAAAAATTAGTTTTTCATCATAATTTTTTATCACTCCCAGATATTGTTATGATATTTTGTATACACCTTTTCATTATTGAGGAGCATTTTTTTACGTGAAAGATATTTAAAAATTTTCACCAGTGGCGTCCGTACGGGGTTTGAACTGACAATTTTTGAAGAAAAAAATAGTACGCCACTGATTTTTCTGAAAACCAGATTTTTTTTCAATTCTTATTCATTTTGGAGCAAATTTGGTTCGAAGACTCGCTTTCATACAACGTACCGTTTTCGCGTAAAAAAATAAAAACCAAAAAATTTTATTTCTTCAGTTCTTGGATATTGTTTTTGATAATTCAGTAGACACCCACTATAAGTGGAAAAACATTTTGTTTTTGGACGAAAATCAAACTTTTACTTTTACCAGTGATGTCCTCGTAGACCTGTTATTGAATGTTTTGTTCAAAAAAACGCTGTACGCTTCTGATTTCAACACCCTGTAGCTCAAAAACTGAGAGGTTCAGGACATATGTTGATATGAATTTCTCTCCTCAAAATCATTCAAGGATCATCGCCCTGTAGGATCAGCATTCAATTATGAAACATCCTGTATATATGAAAATAACACTAAGTATAAAAATCGAACTTCATATTAGTATACTTTCAATGAATACAGTCTCACCTAGTATGGAAACGTTGGTTCTTGTTTTAATGAAGTTAAAATCTAAAAACAAAAAATCCGCCACTCCGTATATCGACTTCTGTAACAGAATTCAGGAATTCAGGAACATGCTTTAAATGTGATTTGTTCTTCTTCCACTATGGGGGAAACAAAGCCTCGTTGTCAGGTAAACTTATAAATAGAGATATCAATAAGGAAATTTGTGATATCAACGTTTCGAAGATTTGTGTGCGAGATTTTGAATCCCTGGGGGAATCTCTAAATTCAGTATTACTGGGTGAGGAAGTGTCCCTGATTTAGGTATGTGGGATTTGCCCATTTTCTGTATGAAGGTATTATGTTTATGTAAAATTTAGAACTCGAACTTATCTTGGAAATAAACTGTTTGGACCTTGATATTGGCATCTGATTGCTCAGAACCTTTACACTTCTAATGTCTCCACGACAGAATTGAAACGTACACGTCAAATATAATTTCCTTATTGATGATGAATAAAGACACATTATATTATTATTATTATTATTGCATAGTTTCTTCTATGACGGAAAAATAGTTTGAAATATCTTCTCTAGTGACGGGTTTTTTGTTTCGTCGAGGTGGTTGAAATAGTTTATGGACATCATATGGGGCTAATCTCCCATTTGGTAGTGTGGGAGTACCCTCCAGGCTATACCCACTAAACATTCCACCCCGTTTGTAGGGTCGTCTGACCGATGTCTTCGACGACACTAATAGTGGGCCATTGTATCTCACCTACATGCCGTTATCAATTTTACCATATACTTCAATATGTGACATCTGATAAAATGTCACTTTTCATAAATTTCTTTTTTCTGTGACGGGAAAAAAGTTTGGCATTTCATCCCTGTTGGCGGGTTATGAAATGTCACTTTTCATAAATTACTTTTTTCCCGTGGGAAAAAAGTGAGTACTGTTTTCCCGGATATATATTACATATATATACACTGTTGATGGCTTTTGTTGTGCTATAGTTCCGAAAAATGAGTCAATAATACCGTCTGCGAGAAAGAACTGCTAGTCCTTTTATCTTCCATTCGACTTCGTGGTTACGAATATTACTAAACAATCACAAAATCCGCAATTTTGTGAAATCCAATTACAGAATTAGACTGACAGAATTGACATCAGATATTAGATTACTTCAAATGAATGATAAAGATGCCTACAACGCCGTGACCCTACTGTTAAAAACTTAAAATTTCACGTCGATAATTTTCAGATTTCAAAATAATGTAATATCTTCTGAATATTGAATCGTCCTTTCTTCTGTCACAGAAAAAAATTGTGTATTATACACGGGAAAAATATTAGATTTTAGCTCACGGTTTGTTGTCTCCCTCCGCTACGCGTCGGAAGACAACACAACCTGGAGCTGAAATCTACAACTTTTTTCCCTTGTATAATAAATAACTATTTTTCCCGCGGATATATCACATATTCAGGGTGTATCTAAATAACGCCGAAAAAATTCAAGGGTCGATTTCTTGTGATATTCCTAACTTGATCCGTTTTTGAGATACAGGATGTTGAAGTTGGAAGTATTAATTGTTTTCATTTATTACTTTCCTGTATAAGCTTCCATGGTGCTAAAATTCGGTATGATTGGAGACTGAGAAAGCCCAAAATTTCAAAATGATTGTAATTGGGGTAATTGAGTAATCTCAATGAAAGTCTTGGAAGCACCTACATCAAATTTGCTATTGCTAGTACCTATTATTATTATTATTCACATAAACCTTTCTTCAAGCTGTCAAAGTCCTGCTTCGAAAAACTCACCCTGTGTAATGAAGATCTGCTGGAAAAATTAATAATTTCGTTCATTTATTGCAGATGAAGATTGTGAGCCATGTCAACCGAAACTTCAAGGGATATATCGCTAATAAAAGATGAGGAGATTCTTCGAAAAATGGTAAGTGATATCAAATTTTCCATACTCTTTTAGTAAGTTCATTTCTGAAGACTTCAGAGTATCCACTTTTACCCAGACAGCAGAGAATATTCTATGAATGTTCTCACAACTTTCTTAACATACCTCCTACAAAATATTCCATATTCCGGAGAACGTTCATAGAATATAATGAGGATGTTCTGAATGTTCATTTACTGTTTCAAGAGAATTTGCATAGAACATTTCATCAACATATCCTAGGAACGTTCCTAGAATATTCCATCATATTTTATGAATATTATCGAGATACGATCATAGAATGTTCTGTTCATATATTCTAGGCATGTTCTCCAGGTATGTTCATTCATTATTCAGAGAATCTAAGGAAGAGAAAACTGTTTGTTTCCTATGAAACATAATAATATGTCCTAACTTGCTTCGTTCTTGATATAACATCGGGGAGTTAAATTTTTCAGAGAAAATTTCATTTTCATTGATTATTCGAAATTGTTTTCGCTGATTTTGATGAAACTTTATCTGCAGTAGCAATATGGGGTTGAGGGAATTCAAATATACCGCTATTTTCTTCAATTGCTACTTTCCTACCCTACCCGAGTTATAAATCAGAATTTTGAAGTTTATATTTCACTTCCCAGAGCTTATTTCTTCCTCCTATCTCTGAAATATTTTTCATGCGATCTAGAACACCCTGTGTACTGAGAATATTCCTATATCATTCTGAGGATGTTTTATTTATTCATAGAATGTGCTGAGAATGTTCTAAAATATATTATGGGAACGTTTTAGGAACGTTAATTTCTGTCCCATTTGCATGCTCATAGGATATTGTCAGAATGTTCATTGCACCTTGTGATATCATTCTGAGAATATTCGAAATCTTCCGCGGGAATATTCTAGGAACGTTCTCAGGATCACTTCGTGCAGTCTGGATAGTGCCTAAAACAAAGCCTAAAATTGAGAAGAAAAAATGGTTCAGGAATATCTGAATGAATAGTTTGGTCTGTCCGAAAGGATGTGTTGCATTATTGGGGAAAATGTTCATCATTTTCCAATTATTCCAAAAGAATAAATACCTGACTGCTTACCCCAGATAGCACGAAGTGATTCTAAGAACTTTCTTAGAATATTCTCTCGGAAGATTTCGAATATTCTCAGAATGTTCTCGCAAGGTGAACTGATCGTTCTGAGAATATTCTAAGAACAACAAACAAATGGAAGGAAAATTTGAGTTCGAAGAACATTCTCATGATTTCTGTCAGAACATTCTCAGAACATTCAATAAAATATCACAGCAATCGACATGGATATGTCACGACGAGCTTACACTATATGGATATCAGTCGCAAGAAAGTCATGAGAATGTGCATGCTTATATTTCAGAGCACGCTCGCTTTATTTACAATATTTACGACAATGCAGTGTTGCCACTAGAAAGTAGTAGCAATATTAATATGTCGAGAGAAACACCCTGTATTTCACCGCATTTTCGAATTCTCCCTGAAGAGCTGATTCCATCGATATATCACACTTGGGGTCTATCGGAAATGATTACAGAGGTATATAGGGTGTTCAAAATCGAGATTTTTCATCTTCAGGATTCTTTGTGTCGACACAAACAAATCCTAAAGTTGAAAAATCTCGATTCTGAACACCCTATATGTCTGTAATCATTTCCAAGTATGATGTATCGATGAAATCAGCTTTTCAGGGAGAATATAAAAATGCAATGAAATACAGGGTATTCAATTTGAAATAACAAAGTTGTTGCTACTTTTTGATAGAAGCGGCAAAACTGCATTGCTGAAAATATTCCAAATGAAGAGAGCGTATTCTTAAATATGATCATGCAGATTTTCCTGGATTCCTCCCGAATGATTCTCGATATAAAAATAGTGTAAGTTCGTCGTGACAAACCCTGTATGAGGAAAATCTACGAAGTCCTGAAAGCTGGAAGGACCATCTACAATAAAAAACGTAAAACTAAAAAATTCTCAGTTATGACTCGGAATTACAGAGTTCCGACGTATATATCTCGGAGTTATATAGCTCTAGATTTTTCATCCAATATTCCAAGTAATAACTCTGGTAGGGTAGGAAGAAAGTAATTGAACATCACGGTAATTTTGAATTCACAAAACCCTTTTTCCACCGCAGATGAGCATGTCAAGTTTTATGAAAATTTTGAATAATCAATGAAAAATTGATTCTTTCTGAAGAATTTGACTCTCTGTATCTTGAAAACGAAGCAAGTAAGGACATATGTTCATAGAAAACAAACATTTTTCTGAATCTGAATAATATATTTTATGAACGTACCTGAGGAACATGCCTAGAATATTCTGACAATACACTCCTGAATAACATTCATAGACTATATAATGGAATATTCAAGGAACGTCCTAGGATATTTGGATGGAATGTTCTATAAATATTTTCGTGAAACATTCTATGAACATTCTGAACATCCTCATCATATTCTAGGAACATTCTTCTAAATATTATGCAGGAGGTATGTTGTGAGCGTTGTTAGAACATTCATAGAACATTCATAGAAGCTTTTCTGAAAATTTAAAAACTATGCTCATTATAGTGAGATCAGTCACCCTGTTTATCGCAGCTTTTCTTCAATGTTTTACCAGCCCTCATTTTGTTTTTTCTTCGCTTTCAGTGGCAAGACACCGAAGACTTCGGGCAAAAGAAAGAAATAAGATCGCACATGTACAAGCTGAGGGAGCAGCGACTGAGAGAATTCTACAACAGCGGTGACGTCACTGCTGAGATCCATTCGATAACAACGACTCAGGGCAAAAATCACGACAAGCCCACTCACGCAGACTCCCTGATCGATCACAGTTTCATGAGTCTGAAGGACAAGGAGATCAGAGATTCTGAGTCGCCGACAAGGGACATCAGTTATAAAGTGACAGGTTAGTGAGTTTTTCCACCACTAGCTCTAGAACCTACACGCAGAAAAATGAATGGTATACTAAGGCCCTCCGCACACGAATCGATCGGCGACATGGGCGACGCGATTCGAATCGTACGACGGTCTCCCCTCTACTCGACTTCCTATGCAAAGCATCTGGATCCCGCACACGGGTCGTCTAGAAACGTTTGATTTAAGATCTCCTCGTTTTCAGTCTCACGCGATTAGCAAGGAAGCAGTTTGATCGAGTGAATCTTGCGTCTCAATGGAGAAAGTTGTTCAATAATTTTTCAATCATTGAGAATATTTGTGTTACCTACCTTAGTTCTTTACTTTCAGTAACTAGGACATATAATCTTATGTTTCCAATTTATACTCTCAGCTTTAGGAACTGTTTGATTTTTCGAAATATATGAATCTTACATCAATGTTATTAGTATGTGTTCTTCTGCGCTGACACATTCCCTCATATTTGAATCCATATAATTTATGGCTGGATCAAGAGTTTCCACTAAATCAATATATGATTCCTTCGACATTCTATAAAATGCCAGAAATTTTGTGTCACTCTCTTGCATTTCACTTGCAGTAACAAAAAGTCGAGTATGAAAATTTCGTGCAATGTACGGATCCACCCATAAACTTCGTTTTCTTCTTCTTCTCCTGATCTGCCGTTGCCAAAAAAAAATAGATATGTCCTCCTCGCCTTTGCAACTGCTCATTTTTAGCGAAACATTTCTTTTTGAAGTAGCAAAAAATAGAGTAACTAAGTTGATCAGACGCGAGTCGACTACACAAAACGTCGACCCATATGCGGATGACACACACTCCCGTCTCTTGAATCGTACGAATGCAGAAATTGTGACGTCATTGCAATCGCGTCGCCCATGTCGCCGATCCACCCGTGTGCGGAGGGCCTAACAGCTAGAATCGCTGTATATCTCACTACGAAAAACGTTGAGAATAGGGACAAACTTTCACCGCACTAAAATATACTCTACACTGAGAGGACTCGGCCAAGTTGATCGTTTCCTTTTCCTGTTTCCATTTTCATCACTGAATGAGAAGAAAAGAGTGTACCAGTGCATCTGATGGGCCGTTTTTCTCGGCGCATGATCCTGATACACCCGGTATCTATAATGTACCGAAATTTGTCGTCAGCCCTATATTTTTGTGATTTCTGGATACATCACAACTATACTCATCAAGGTTATCCTTTTTCAGATAACAATATACCTATGTAATTTTTTATAGTTATTAGCTAATGACATTTAAATAAGTCACTAATGACAAGTGAATAAGTCACTGATGACAAGTAAACAATTCACTAATGACATGTGATTGACTCATGAATATTGAAGGTTGACAGGATCACTCATTGTAACCATAACCACTGATAAATTCACAGGTTGCGCTGTACTGTGAGTTCAGAAAATGAATATAAAACAATGGAAATCTCAATTTTCTTTTCTTCTTCACATAACTCAATGAAATTATAAAAATGAGCCTATACCGAAAAACCATAATTTCGGAGATATTCCATATTTTAGTTATTGTTGTATCTAGTGCGCGAGATGCTACTTTTTAACGAGGCGCAACGCAGCAAACAAAATTTTTTCCTGCAGTCGTCCGAGAATATAGTTCTAAAGTAGTAATATGCTCAGCTTAATATAAAAATATTGTTGAACTGGTTCAAAAGGCCTAGAATATTGTTTAACATTTAGATATAAATGATTTCTTGGATGTTCGCTCGATTGAGGACCATAAAGTTTAAATACAAGAATCTCATATAGTTTTAATACAATGCGCGAAGTATGTACTTCGCGCATCGTTTTACTTCGCGCACTGCTTCGCACATGGTGTCGTGGTAACGTAGGAAACTGAAAAAAGTGTCACTTCGCAAAGTATTATCAATGCGTGAACCTTGTCATTCTTTGACGTTTGTAGAAAAAATACTTTTCTGCATAATAACTGCCTGAAATTTTGGATTTTCATAGCAGGTTGTGCAAAATACCTACCTATCAAAAAATTTAATGAAGTTTACTTGATTGAACATTGGTTCATATGAAAATATGAATAACCTACATTGATATCACTTGTTATGCAAATTTAATAACATTCGTTATCAATGAATAATACTTTGGAGATTTCCTCATTAATATACTTTTGCATATGATGAATCTCAGAGAAAATAACTCCATTTCAATCGTCAATAGATATTTTGCACAGCCTATTCTAGAAAAATCCAAAATTACAGATATTATGCAGAAATAAAAACTCCTTTTATGAAATAACTCCAAAATTATGGTTCTTTCCAGCACGTCTCAGATAATTTTCAATGAAACGATTCAATATAATTCTCAAAAAGAATCCCATCGCTTTCGTGATATTTAAAAAAATGTGAAGCAAAAAATTGTGAATCTGAATTTTTCGCACACCGTGTAGGTATCAAGGTATCATTTGATCGATATGATTAATTTCCAGACGACCATGATGACCATGGTTGGCACATCACTTCCGCAAAAGAAATATCAGACGGTGGAAACACCATCACAACAACCAAACTCGCCACTGCCGCTGGTACCACTAGTACGGACAAAGGCAACATTGCCTTCTCAGCTAAAAACCAACAAACATCGAAAGTCTCTCAAAGTGGGGATGATAAGAATTTCACGAAATCATTTGGCTCCCAATCTAACTCTGTGTTGAAACAGGAGGCAGTCAGTGGTGATAAGAATAATTTCCACTCGAGCTCCACTACTTCAAAGAACGCTTCATCCTCTATGGTTGTCAGTAAATCCAGTAAAGTTGATTATCAGGATTTCATACCTGATGATAACGAGACATTCACCTATGTCAACAAAAGTGTTGAGACTAGTGATGCCTTGACTCATGACCCTCAGTATATCGATGGAAATACAAAAATCACACGTGAGACTAAGACATTACCAGATGGTACGATAGTTACAACTACAAGATATGACACCAAAGGACCAACTTATTCTTCAAGAAATGAAAGAATCATTTCCAACCAGAATACTCATAAAACCGAATCAGTTGAGTCTAAGAGAACTGAAGTTGAGGAAACTACAGCTGATTCAAGAATCGAAGACAAGACAAATAAACACGAATATATCAAAAGCAGCACTACCAAAGAAAGATTCAAGTCATCTCCCAAACACACTGAAAGCAAGAATGTCCGGGCTGAACAACATCATGTTTGTGAACAATGGAATACTGATGATTCAAGAAGAGATCAAGAATTTCAGGAAGTGACTTCAGAGTTCAAAGAAAGTAATGACTCGAACTCAAAGAGGAGAGTAGTGAAGAAGGATTTGTCAAGAGATATGGAGAAGGAGCAGATGGTTACTAACAGCAACAATAATTCACAATTCCAGCGCCAGCAGAATGAGAACATCGAAATCAAACTAGTATCCAACGTCACTAAAATCAATAAAGATGAAGTCGATGCGAAGACAATTCATACTACTACAACTAACGTAGAAGTGGAACCGACTAGCCAAATACCAAACAGTGTTAAAGAAAAACCAGCTCGTAGTAAACCGACCGATAATCAGTACGAAACAACCTACAAACATGATTATTCAAACAGAAAAATCAGTGTTGAAGTCAGCCCTACACACGAAGCATTTGCTCGGTCCCTTAGAGCTGTGTCTCCTGAGACCGTCAGAACTAGTACTTCATCCCTTATAAGTAACTCCAGTACGCAAAAGAAGAGACACTCCACTAGATCTTCTTCCGAAAAACAAGTACTGTCAAGAGGGTACAGTCCCGATAAGACAGATCGTTTTCGTAGCAACGAGACTCTGTCATCCAACAGAACTAGTCCTGACAGAAAGAGTCATAGGCGATCTCCTTCTCCAAAGAGAGGCCATGATGATTTGAAAATTGAAGAATATGGGACGAAACATGAAGAACATTACAGTAGGACAACAAGGATTTCTGGTACCACTCGCAACAACACCCCGAGATCACCTTCTCCCAAACCAAAACGCACACAATACGTCAGAAATATCAACGATATAGTGACCGATTTGGATGAAGATGTGACCATATGTACTATATCGAAGAACACCAAGAATGTTGGCTCTGATATAAGGCCAACAAGCTTGAAGCTAACACACACAACAAGAAAAGTTAGTGAGCAGTCGCCTACAAAATCACCTAGTAAGGAACAACCAAAGAGACACAGTTTGGTATCGCCTACAAAGGAATTTAATAACAAAGTAACTGAACGTTCTCAAACGTCTCCGACAAAATCTCCTACTAAGGGATCACCTACTAAAGATTCAGCTAAGATATGTTCTCCTGAGAATCGTACGTTGAAGAGGACGGATACGTATGAGGAAAGATGTCGACAGATACTTGGTTTGACTGAAAACACTGAAAGAAGAAGCAGCTTAGAAAGATCTCTGTTGAAGAGAGGTTCTCTCAGTAGAAGAGGATCAGATACTGCTTCCTTTGTTAGTGAGAATGCTAAGCGAGATGTCGAAAGAAAGGATTCAGTTGAAACGATAAGAAGAGATACAGAATCAAGTACACTGAAAAGATCGCCTGAAAGGAAGCCATGTCAAGAAACGCACACTTCGAAGATGTCAAATATTGAAAGCAAAGATTCCGTGGAGACCATAACGAGAGATACAGAATCTAGCACACTAAAGAGATCACCTGAGAGAAAGCCATATCAAGAAACTCGAACTTCGAAGATGTCAAATATTGAAAGAGAAGATTCCGTTGAGTCCATAAGAAGATATACAGAATCCACTACACTGAAAAGATCGCCTGAGAGGCAATCATATCAAGAATCTCAAACTTCGAAGAAGTCAAGTGTTGAAAGAAAAGATTCAGTGGAGACCATAAGGAAAGATACAGAATCTAGTACACTAAAGAAATCACCTGAGAGAAAGCCTTATCAGTCTCACATAGAACCTCTGAGTTCGATGAAGTCAGATGTTGAAAGAAAAGATTCAGAGGATACCATGAAGAGAGGTACAGAATCTAGTACACACACAAGATCGCCCGAAAGGAAACCCCATCAGTCTCAAGTAGATCTTCAAACTTCGAAGAAGTTAGATGTTGACAGATCTGAGACAGTGGAGACTATAAGAAGAGATACAGAAACTAGTACTCGAAAGATATCACCCGAAAGAAAGCCTTATCAGTCTCACACCAAACCCCAGACTCCGAAGAAGTTGGATGATAAAAGGAAAGATTCAGTGGGAACCATTAAAGAAGATACAGAATCAAGAATACTTACAAGATCACCCGAAAGAAAACCCCATCATTCTCAAGCAGAACTTCAGAAGGAAAGGAAAGATTTTGTGGGAACCATAAGAAGAGATACAGAATCAAGTACAATTACAAGATCACCTGAGAGAAAACCTCATCAGTCTCATGTAAAACTTCAAACTTTGACTATGTTAGATGTTGAAAGAAAAGAAGCCGTGGAAACCATAAGAACAGATAGTACATTGAAAACATCTCCTAAAAATCAGTCCCCAGTCCAAACTCTGACGAATTCCAATGTAGAAACAGAAGAATCAGTGGAAGCAATAGGAAAACATAGAGAATCTAGTATACGAAAAATATCTCCTGAAGGGAAACCCTATCAGTCTCAACCAGAAATTCAAACTTCAGAGTTTGGAAGAAAAGACTTAGTGGAAACCATGAGTAGAGATACACAAGAAATTGTGGATAAAAACACTGAGCTCACTGAAGAAGAATTAGAAATCACTAGAATTCAGCAGGCAACACGTAAACCTGAAAGAGTTTCTGTTGACAAGATTGACAAAAAAACAAATCAAGTTCATTCAAATGGAGTAACAGAGACATCGCAGAACAACACTTCAGAGAAGACTACAGAACTTTCCCATGTAGTGAAAACTTTGCATTCAGAAATTGAATCTGAAAACACTACAAATGTAACACCCAGATTGTTGCCTAAAGCTGAAAATGAGAGCACCCACAAGCCACGTCAGTACAACAAATCAACAGTTAAAAAAATCGATATAAATACCAATGTGGCTACCAGCAAACCGCCAGAAAATTATGTTACCAAAGCTACGACTCATGTTGGAAAATTATCCCTAGAAAATCTCAACGCACCTCAAATGAATAGGATTCCATTGAAGGAACCTAGCGATACAGAAGCTATCTCTCAAATAATCGAGAAATATTCTATCGTGTCGTCAGAAGAGGACAAAACACAAAATAAGGTGCTATTGAAGGAGAAGAAGAGTGTTCAGCCGAAAGGCACCGATATGGAGAAAACACCTAAGACAAAAGAGGTTTCATCTCCAGTAAAAAAATCCGGGAATAAGATAGATGCATCACAACAAGTTAGGAAAATACCAGTAAAAGAAACACACACGAAGAAATATGGAGCACAAACAACGAAGAATAAGGAAACCGATGTTAAACTTACCAAAGCAAATGTGAATCCTTTAGAAAATAGAGTTCCTGTAGAGGAGCCTTTAGTAGTGAAAAAGTATTTGAGTCAACTCTGTCGTGAAGATGAAATTATTAATCCTAATGTTGTAAAAGAGAAAACCAAGATTTTCTTGGAGCAAAATATTGGCACCAATGAAACTGTTATAACAGTTGAAAATACGACGGATGTCAGGAAATACCAGACGAAAGATTTCATTGATATGGAAAGTGGGAAAAATAAGCCCAATAGAATTCCATCTAAAAAAAATATCGTTAGAAAATCGACAGACGAAAATATAAAGAATTCAACAACAAAAATTAGAGATAAAAAGGTTGATGAACAGCTGCACAAAAACAACAAAACTGAGATCAATATTTCAGTTAACAATACCAGAGGATACCCAAAACAAAAACCAAAACAACCACTAAAATCTACTGAGAATTCTGTAACTTACCTGACTTCGCACAATATCAAAATAACCAATGGCTTGGGAACAACTTCATTAAAATCTCCTAAGACAATTGATAGAAATACAATAATTGGTTCTCTCAAGAAGGAATCTCCGAAGAAGCCTCTTATTTCGACTTCAGTTATACAAACAAAGCAACCAAAACAGGATATGAAATTCAGAAGCATAGTTCAAAGAGTGGCCATCACACCAAATCCGACAAAATCCCAACAAGTGGTAGACAAAACCGAAAACAAAATCAATTCAGCTAAGAATATAAAAAATATCACGAAAATAAACACGGAGTCACCCAAACCTAAAAAAGCTATTTCCACAATTCCAGTAAGCTCCCAGAAAAAACCTTCTAGTCAAAGGCGAGTGGATCCAAAGTCCATTCCTAGCATGAAGGTTCATAAAACAACTATTTCAAAACCCAAACAAACTGAGGAGCAAAGCATAGTTGATACTGAAGATGATACATCGACAATTGGAGATTCCGAAGTGACAATAGAGAGTGATCACATGAAAACAAATGATCATATAGAGGTTGTAGATGGAACCAAGACATACAAGCCTAAGAAATACGGTAAGAGACACGAAAAAACATGCATCACAACCAAAACCATGATAATCAGTGACACTTTATCCAATGTTCCACATGAAATCGTAGATTTTCATAGATCGAAATCTTCCCGAGAACCAACACCTGATCGGTTATGTCCTGTGCCATTATCTTCAGACGAAGAACAAACCCAGAAACCCAGATATCCAGACCAAGTAGTTGAACCTGATGAGATAATATTCGTTAAAACCAAAGAAAAACTATCACATCTACCAATAATGGAATCGGAGAGCCTAGATGAGTTTACTAGAATCACAGAAATCAACGAGAAAAACAAAATCACCGATATCGACAGAGTGGAAGAAACTGATGACAGTTTATTGACCATCGATGAGAAAATCAATATGTTCACTAAACCGACCGATAAGGGTCCTAGAAAACCTACCGGACCAGCTTCGAGAGTCCAAAGACCGGAGCTAGAAATCTCTGAAGATTTACGATCAGATGAATGCCTTCTGAGTGTGACAGATAAAGTGAACAAATTCATTACGACTGCCGAAAAACTCACTCAGCAATCAACCGTACCAGAAGGGACTAACCGCAAAATTTCTCCTGAATACGTCAAGCCAGCTCCTAAAGAGGAAGAACGTCCAACAGGCACCACGAAATATATTTCTGAAGTAACCAACAGCGAGAGAACAGATAAATCAATCAATTTAGCTGGAATGGGCCCTAGGCCCAAAGCAGAGCCTTGTAGACCTAGTGCAGTTACAGAGATACAAGGAAAGCACCACGGAGAAGAGGTTGAAACTGTTTTTACTTCGAACTCCGATAAAACGATTAGTCCAAAAGTAATTAAGTCGCCAGGAAGAAAATCATCAGTTGGAGTCGACTTACATGATATTGTCAAAATAGAAACCAAGCACTCCTCAAGTACAAGTTTCGAGCACATAGAATCTCCTGAAAAATCACCGGCAAATCTTCCTGAAACTGAGAAGACACCACCTAGACGTCCATCTAATGAATACAGCAGTATCAAAACCAAGAGTCAAGACACCAAGTATCCTCGAAGAGAGAATTCCCCAGTTTTAACTGATACCACACCAAAAACTACTAGGAGATCTTCCCAGGAAGAGCAGAAGGTAGTCTTGAGCCCAGCAGGAAGGTTGAGAAGTACTGAAAGCATCAAAAGAGCCAGAGCTCTGTTCGAAAACGTATCAAAGGAAGCCACTACAACGAAACAACGTGATATTTTGAGTCGGCCCTATGTGAATCATAAAGTACCAGCAGGAGAAACTCCTGGAATCAATATATCAAGAAAAGTACTGGACTTTTCAGAGGACAAAGTTACTGAGACAACTTCTAATGTTCCTCATTATATGCTTCCTCTTGAAAAAAGATATCGACCTGAAAGTCCGCAAAAATCAACATCTGCTTTGTCTGACGACCATGTTCAGACAGTAACACCAAGATCATTCTCACCAGACCACAAAAACACTCCGCATTATATGCTACCTCTTGAGAGAAAACATGTAGACAAGTACGAAGAATCAGAATCTGTAGATGTGGAGAAGTTCACTACCGAGAAGAATACAGATATGATAAGGAGACCTTCTTCAGACCACAAAGATATTCCTCATTACATGCTTCCTCTAGAGAAAACTCATCAATTCGATATTGATCATTCAAAACATGTTGACAGAATCAGACAACGTTCACCAGATCAAGAGAAAACTCCACATTATATGCTTCCTATTGATAAAACATATGAATCTGATTTAGTGAACGTTCAGAAGGTCACAAAAGAAAGTGAATCAGGAAAACCAAGGCAAAATTCTCCAGACCATAAAGAAATCCCTCATTATATGCTTCCTCTGGAAACATCACATATAGATAGACATTTCCATTCTGAATCAATACATATCCAGAAGGACACTGAAGAAAAAGATTTGGAAAGAACAGTACACCGTACTTCTCACAATGGCGACACTCCCCACTATATGCTTCCTCTTGAAAAAACACACCAAGAGAGACCTCAACATGAATCGATACATGTTGAGAAAGTAACGGGAGAAATTAGACAACATTCTCCAGATCATCAAAAAATTCCTCATTACATGCAACCTCTTGAAAGAACTCATGAGGATAGGCCTGAATCAGTACATCTTGAGAAGATTCAGACAGGAACCGATAGAGAAAGAATAAGACGACCATCTCCAGACCATGAAGGAACCCCTCATTATATGCTTCCTCTCGAAACATCACATAAAGATAGACACATTCATTCTGAAACAGTGCATGTCCAGAAAGACACTAAAGAAACAGCACAACTTACTTCCCAACATGAACATATACCTCATTATATGCTTCCTCTTGAAAAATCACACCAAGAGAGACCTCCTCATCATGAATCAATACGTGTTGAGAAAGTTACAAGAGAAACTAGAAAACATTCTCCAGAGCATCAGAGTATTCCTCATTACATGCAACCTCTTGAGAAGACAAATGAGGATAAGCCTGAATTAGTACATCCTGAGAAGATTCGGACAGACACTGATAGAGGGAGAATAAGGAGACCATCTCCAGACCACGAAGGAACCCCTCATTACATGCTTCCTCTCGAAACATCACATAAAGATAGACACATCCACTCTGAAACAGTACGTGTCCAGAAAGATACTAAAGGAACAGTACAACTTCCTTCCCAACATGAACATATACCTCATTATATGCTTCCTCTTGAAAAAACACACCAAGAGCAACCTCCTCATCATGAATCAATACGTGTTGGGAATGTTACAAGAGATTCTAGACAGCATTCTCCAGAGCATCAGAGCATTCCTCATTACATGCAGCCTCTTGAGAAGACACATGAGGATAAGCCTGAATCAGTACATCCTGAGAAGATTCGGACAGACACTGATAGAGGAAGAATAAGGCGACCATCTCCAGATGATAAACAAACCCCGCATTATATGCTTCCTCTCGAAACATCAAATACCGATAGACACATTCATTCTGAATCAGTGCATGTCCAAAAAGACTCCAGAGAAACAGTACAACGTTCTCCGCAACATGGAGATACACCTCACTATATGCTCCCTCTCGAAAAAGAAAACCAAGAGAGACCTTTTCATCATCAATCAATACGTGTAGAGAAAGAAAGAAGAGAAAGTAGAAAACATTCTCCAGACCATCAGAAAATTCCTCATTACATGCAACCTCTGGAGAAAACTCATGAGGATGGGCCTGATTCAGTACGTCGTGAGGAGATTCGGATAGAAACTGATAAAGGACGAATGAGGCGACCATCTCCAGACCACGTAGGAACCCCTCATTATATGCTTCCTCTTGAAACATCACATAAAGATAGACACATCCATTCTGAATCAGTACATGTCCAGAAAGACTCCAAAGAAACAGTACAACATTCTTCACAGCATGAGGATACACCACACTATATGCTTCCTCTTGAAAAAATACACCAAAATAGACCTCCCCATCATGAATCGATTCATGTTGAGAAAGTTACAAGAGAAACTAGACAACATTCTCCAGACCATCAGAAAATTCCTCATTACATGCAACCTCTTGAGAAAACACATGAAGATGAGCCTGAATCAGTACGTCGTGAGAAGATTCGTAAAGAAACTGACAGAGAAAGCATAAGGCGATCTTCACCAGATCATGGAGAAATCCCTCATTATATGCTTCCTCTAGAATCATCACATACACACTCGGATTCAATGCAGGTCCAGAAGGACACTGAAGAAACTCATTCAGAGAGAACAATACAACGTTCTATTCACCAAGGCGATACTCCCCACTATATGCTTCCTCTTGAAAAAGCACACCAAGAGAAGCCTGCACATCATGAATCAATGCATGTCGAGAAAATCACAAGAGAAACCAGACATCATTCTCCAGAACATCGAAAAATGCCTCATTACATGCAACCTCTGGAAACACCACATAAAGAAGACTTAGACCGATCCAAACATGAATCCGTACGTCCATATAATGATTCGGATTTGGGTAGACCAAGACAACGTTGTCCAGATTCCGAAGAAACACCTCACTATATGTTACCTCTAGAAACCAGATCAAGGCCCCAAAGTCCACACAAAGAAAACACACAGCAATCCAGGTATACGAGTGAGTCTATACAAGTGGAGAAAATTCATGTAGGAAGAGATCAAAAGGATTTGCCTCATTATATGCTGCCTCTGGAATCCAGATCTAGACCTCAGAGCCCAGATAAAGTTAGCATTGGGAAGGTTACCACTGAAGAGAAGAGAGGACATTCGCCTGAACACAAAGGGGTTCCCCATTACATGGCACCCCTAGAGAGACCTCAGAGCCCTCAGAAAGACAGGGATACCCCACATCATACGAGGCCCCTCGAAAAGAGGACACCACTCGTGAATGAAGATGCGAAGACTTCGAGATTTGGAGTAACACTGAAAAGGGTGGATAGTGGCAAAAGAGTTCCTGGTACGGCTAGTACAACTACTACGGCTACCAAGAGCATCATCAACTTGAGCGATGAAGAAATCGAAAGGATTTCTGATCTGGTTGTTTTGGAAGAGTTGGTAAGTGTGCAGTTTATTTCATACGATGTTGTAGAACATGTCAGGCCTGTCCCATTCTAAACATATAGTATTGAATTGTCCTTACACAAACCTTTTGAGCATTTATCGGGCACTGCCCAGAACTATTGATCTTTATTGTGTTTTTTATATTCAACAGTACTGAAGGATTCCGGTCGACATTGGTAGCTGGGCTTGCTCAGTGAAAAATGGAACTCTGGTGTACCATTAGTTCGTCAAGGAGAAGGCAGCCCCAAGCGATCTTACCGCCAGTCATCTTAGGCAAAGCCGGGGCCTCTCCTGTAAACGAGGAAGAGGAACGTGTGAAAGGCCTCGGACGATCACTCATTCAACGGGACGAGAGGATTCTTGTCAACATGAGTAGCAATCAGGCCAAAGCCTCTTGCGACGGTGACCCATCAAACGTATCAAGATGAATCTTGTTGACATGGGTAGTTGGGGTGATGAGAATAGCCCCATCAGGTCGCACATACGGCCTGATGCATCACCAATTGGGTTGGACTCCAGGGGGCAGAAGTTTTCAAACAACACCGCCGGACTACGGTAGAGGAGGTGAAAAAGAATCCCACTATGGGTCAAGTGGGAGGATATCTTGCCTGCCTCGGCGGGTGAGCAGCGTTTCTGCTCGGGCACTGACACTGCAAAGCCAGTAGTCTGTTTTATTAGACGGCCTCACTATTGGTATAATGAAATGGTAGCAGGAGAACATGCCGTTACATAACGGAGATGGCTCTAGCGCGCTGATTTGGCGTATCCAAATCCTCCATTTCTCCCAGGGGTGCTGTCGGTATGAGTCGAAAGATAGGTGACTGGCAGTCATTCCCTATAGGAGTCTTGTAAGAGGGGGGTGGGATTTGGTACCACCCTGTTGCTACCCTGGCAACATACTGATTGATGATTGATTGATGGTGAAGGCGAGGACAGAGGGGGAAGACATTTTGTTTTCTCTCTCAACGCTAGCTGAACTGCTCTGTTAGTCTCGTACGAGCATGACGTCACGCGGAGAGTAGATTGTCTCCTCGTACCCTACAAATAGTTAGAACGTTTTATAGCCTGCTTGAATCATCATTACATTTTTTCTGAAGCAATTATATAACCCATTCAAGATGTTTCTTCTCCCCACGACGCGAATATTATGTGTTTTTCATATATTGCTATTCATTTAGAATGAGCCGTCCATTTTCTTCTTAAGGCTACATTTCTCATTGCAAAAAATGAAACAGTTTCCATAAATGACTCTACTGTTGTTTAGCAAAACTAAATACCTACTTTTTGTTTCATTTTCTATTGCAAATAAGTCAACTACACTCAGTTCCAAAAAAAGTGACGCACTTGATATTTGAGAATAGTAGGCCGATTTTTAATTTTTTTTATATCTTGGTAGGTAATGCATTTGTCTTTAAAAAAAATGAAGAGGTGACAATTTTTTCAAAGCCTCCTTGATGGTGGTGGAATATAACTCGAACCATGAGTCATTCTTAATTTTTGACTCACCCTGTGTGTTAATTGAGTGATGGTATACAAAGTGCTTGCACCCTATACGGAAGAGGCTTCTTTTGCGAGCATATTATTTATTCATTCATTGATTTATCTCTGAAATTTTTCGAATTACAGCTTGATTGCTGATACCTTACGCTTATTCCACAAATTGAATTTATTGAAGGATCAGAGTACTCAAAATTGATTGGGTTGTACTCTGGTAGGATCACATTGTCTTTAAAAAAACAAATGCCGTTGCCATAGCGACTAATTTATTGTATGCCTCCATATATGACCATTTGTCGTTGTGTCATTAATCAAGTGTCTTGTTTTATTGACTGAAATTACATAAAATGCCTCTAAAAAATCCTTAACAAGTAGCAATATTAGTTGCGTTAGTAAACGATGGGCGTAGTTAACGTTACGCCGCTCGTGCAGTGGGAGTTCATGAAGCAACTGCTCGTAGAGCAATCCGCAAGTACGAACAGGAAGCACCGCTCGGAGGGTCGGTTCTGGTCGCCCCCGATAAACTTCTCCAAGAGATGATCACTTCTTGAGATTGCGGATTTTACGGAATCGATCAACTACTGCGGTAAATGTTCAGCAAGATCTTCGCCAAATTCGTGATGTTGCAGTAAGTAAGCAGACGGTATATAGACGTCTAAGAGAAGTTAATTTAAAAGCTAGGAGACCTGCAAATTATTGCCCGAACATCGTGCTGCTATGCTGCTAGAAGAAATTTTGTTAAAAGTTATGGACAGTGGAATATTCCTGAATCGTCGAATGTCTTGTTCACGGATGAGTCAAGGTTTTGCCTTAGCATGGTGGATGGAAGAAAAAGAGTGTGAAGAAGAACTGGTGAACGGTTTAATCAAAATTTAATAACAGAATGCGAAAGTTTCAATGGTGGGTCCGTTATGGTGTGGGGAGGGATTTCAATTATAGAAAGACACCCCTTCATGTTTTCTGGTGAGGCAATCGATGAATGCCCAAATTCACATTGACATTTCAGAGCAGTATGTCTTACCTTATGCAGAGTTAGTGGGCAATAATTTTATATTGATGCAGGATAATGCCCGACCACACACCGCAGCAATAGTGCGAAACCTCTTAGAAGCTACTGGTATTACCACATTACAATGGCCTACGAGAAGACCCGATATGATTCCTATCGAACATTTGTGGGATGAATCAGGGAGAAGGGTACTTTCTCGCGAAAGGTCTCCGGAAAGTCTCGCAGAAATGGCAGATGCATTTGTGGAAGAATGGGATTGTATACCAATGGAAACGATGAGCAACTTAATTTCCAGTATGCCTGGATTAGGAGTTGCTAGAGCAGGCAATACACGATATTGAGCAGTCATCCAAATTTATAATTATTGGTATCAGTTTATTTCATTAGAAAATTGTTTCTCGATAAATTCAGAAAGTTGGTAATCTGCAAGGATTCAGAAAAAAAAGCTGTAATTAGGAAAATTTTAGGGATAAATCAATGAATGGAGAAACAAAATGCTCGCAAAAGAAGCTTCTTTCGTATAGGGTGTAGGCACTTTCTATGCCATCCATCAATTAACACACAGGGTGAGTCATAAATTGAGAATAAATCATGGTTCGAGTTATTCCACCACCATCAAGGAGGCTTTGGAAAAATGTTCACCGCTCTATTTTTTTTCAAAGACAAATGCATTACCTACCAACAAATAAAAAGAATAAAAATCGACCTACTATTTTTTTTTTTTTTTTAAGAAGATAGGTCAAGTATCAAGTGCGTCCTTTTTTTTGGAACTGAGTGTATGTATCAGAAAGATCGGAATGATTCTACTATTTAACTTCGCTCCCCATTATGAAAATAGCACCGTTTATATCACCACCCTATATGTCTGCACCGTGTATAAAAGTTAAAATCAACTTTGCCTACTGTCTAATTTTAACATTGATACTTTCTAGCTTCAAAAAGTCAGTTGTTATGAAACAAGGAGAAAAATAAGGAACCAGATACGAATAGTGAAGAAAAGAGTCTCTGAAAGTACAGAATTGAACCTTACTAAAAAACTAAATCGCACCGATGAGACGAGAAGAGAAAAAACTATTGAAACAAAAGAAACAACAACCTCCTCGAGCTATAGGAGTCCTGATAGGAAACCGAGTACCACAAAAATCATCGACAAAGGAACACTGAGACCTGTAGAACAAGATGTCAGCAACACAATTAGAACTAAAACGGATAGACACACTTCGAATTACACGAACATAACTTCTAGCGAAACAAGTTGCAAAACGGTTGCGAAATCAACGCCAAATAGCAAATCTACAAAAATCCACGAGGATACGACAGACACAATAACTTCGAGTTATGGAGTTGGTCCTACTGACGAAAACGGCACTCCTTTATTCGGACTGAGGGCATTGAGAACACAAAACAAAACTGAATCGACAACAAGTGAGTATAAATGATAATATTATGACGAGTATCCTACTAATCAAGTATAATGTTACAAAATATTGCCACAAAATAAGGAGAGTTTGCTTCCGTGATATGGAGATTCGAACATCTTGCTGATACATTCTAGTTAGCAATAGAACAGAAAAAAACTACTGACAAATTGCTTGTAACTTTAAAAATTACCATTTTGTTTTGTTCATAACAATAGTGATATCGGGTCGATTCTGTTCGGATCTTGTTATAACATTGCTACGATAATAATATTGTTATGATCATAAAATATAACAATATTGCTATGTTATGCGACTGGTGCAAGTAATCAATCATGTCCCCGAAATGAGAAAACAACTAAAAGCCGGTGAAAATAATCGTGATTTTTTTTTAATATTCTAGCAAAATAGCTTGATAAATTATCCATCACGCAATTCAAATGGTTCTTCTGGTTTCTCTGATATGCTGAAATTGTAGTCTCATATGTCCTCTACAAATTGGAACTTCAGGAAAAGGTTTTCAAGTAGTTGGTCACAGTAGTGAACCTATCCTATATGTTTGTAATCATTCTAAGTTTTTCAATAATTCTTCTACGAATTGAAACTTTGAGGAAAGGTTTTCGAGTAGTCAGTGACACAACTAAACTCTCATATGTTTTTGATCCACCATTTTCTGAATTTTCATACAGTTGGAAGAATTTGTAGTGCAAGAAGAAAGAATCCACTACCTTGTTATGAGATAGCAAGCACAAAATTGATGTTGCCGAGATAGCAAGAAAGCTGACCAGATGTCATTGAAATTGACAGATCATATTGCCAAAAATCGATGATTAGAATTCCACTTTTTCGAATCTTACTATGATAGCATTATCTTCTCTACAACCATATTGCTATTTGCAAACAGAATCGACCATTGTATCAATTTAAAAGGTGCATTATACCATATCGGCAACATAACATAATCTATCTACGAGCAATATCAGTGCAAGGTTACATGTGGAACTCTTAGTAAATTTTCAATCGCAACGTTGCAATAACTTTGATAATTCAGAGTTCCGAAAATGACATGAGTTGACAGCACAAAATATTGCTACATCTCATTAAATTATAGATCATAATATAGCAACAATATTGAGACAGTTTCAAAGTATGAACCCGATTACCTTGTTTTCAAAGATCCGCGAGTGTGAAATACAATACAATACAATATCGAATGCCTTTGTTTCAGACAAAGTAGACCAACATATGCAATAAACACTCCTGGATTTTCAGAAACAAGTACCGGTATTAATGTTTTGAAACTGTCTGAATTGAAATAATCAACATAATCATGGGAAAAATGCTGCTATTTTTAACTTATAGCAACAAATTTTTAATTTTATTGTAATTTAAATCCAATTTAGCAATTAACCTCACTGCGATATTGCAAGCACGAGGTAGCATCTGTTATATTGAAATGTAATGCTACTGTCCTCCAAATGCAATGTTGCAATAACCTGATGTTTCATTTTAGAACATGACATTCATTATATTACTGAAAGTATCACTATCATTAGTTCCTGCCACTTTGCTGTGAGATGGCGAAAATCTCTGATGTAACATAAAAACATTACATTGTGATAATGTTGCTTCATAGTTGGAATATTCCTTTAATCTGTGGGAAATGAGGATGAATAAACACTTCATTTGATCATTGTGAAATCATGTGGGAAGACATATATTTCGAACAATCAAATGTTCATCATCAAAGATAAAATAGCAATGTACAATGTTCCCGTGTATAGACCACTGATGTTATTTTTTCCAATGCAATGGACATACATAGGATAAACAAAAAGACCTAACAGAACTAGATTTGAGTAACATAAAAAACATTTCACATGTTTTCGGTCCTAACTTTATAAATGCAGCGATATATTGCTAATATTTTTCATTTGACAGCCACAATAACTTTGAGTAATGGATTTGGTGACCCTGACGAAAATGGACCTCCTTTATATGGTTTGAGGGCACTGAGGGCACAAAACAAAACTGATTCAACAAAAAGTAAGTGATTCAACATCATCGCGATTGTATAAATATACAGGTGGGTTGATACCTACATTTCTTCGAATGTGAAAATGATACATCAGGTACCTATTTTCGTGATATCATTATTCATTATCATCAAAGAGAATATATCAGTTTGTTGTACGTAAAATGGAAAATAAAAATCATTACATGAGGACAGGAAATTCCCGAAACCAGGTACGATAGAATACATAACAACATCATTGTCGACGTGTTGAAACTAATGTTCTTTTGATTTATATTGACCTGAATCTGTAATAACGTCCATTAAGAACTTGATACTACTAATAATGATAGATACCTAATCAAATATGGTACATCAAATTGGTAGAAATAAATAAAATATTGCTGGCAATTTACACTATCAATTGGAGGAGAATTTGAAAAATATTTATCTCTCTCGAACATATTTTGTTTATGCAACCTAGTTGTTCTGAAAATTGAATCTTACAAGAGGTTACTTTGGAATATTTCTCTTTCTCGTTTTTTGTAATTTTCTCTCTCTCCACCCTTTCCTCTGTCTGCACCCATGACTTTTTCACTATATTCTTCAATTTATATGTCTCTCAACACTCTACCAAGACTCGTTCATAGTCTTTAGAACATCGTAGCTTTTTGTTTATGTTCTGATGGTTCCCACGAAAAGGGATATCCTGTAATTTTCAGAGAACATCGTGAGAACCAAGGGAAATAAGGTAGGAATTGGTGTTCTTCTTGAATTTCTGTAGGTTATATGCCTCGGGACACCTCCCTTGGCAATGTGTTCCAGAGCCCCGCTGTTCGTTGGATAAACGAGTCTTTGAAAATACATGTTCTGCAGGTCGAAGGGGTGCGAGGCCTCAACTCGACGGGTCAATCTCGCGGGGAATGCCAAGGGAGGAACAATTGTTGATATTTCAGAAGAGCATCGTCCATGAAAATATCTATGATATAGACCAGATTTCCAACTTTTGGACGGTGTTCCAGAGAAGTGAGTGAGTTTGTGAGCGGGGTATCACCCACGAGACGGATTAATTGCCCTTTTTTGGACAGAATCCAACAGTTTCGGGGTATGTTTGGGTGCTGCACTCCAAATATGGAATCAGTATTCCAGGAGAGGTCGGATCTGTGCCTCATAGATCATGAGCAGCTGACTGAAAGTGAAATAGCTTCTGACCCGAAACAGGAAACCAAGTTTTTGGGATGCATTTTCAGCAATTGATCTCACGTGATTTTCCCAAGAAAGGTATCATTGCTGATATTAATACCAAGCATCGGAATGGATGTCTTCGAAGGTATGATCACTCTTGAGAAGCTTATGTTAGGCACAGTAAGATCGGCTTTTCTAGAGAAAAGGCATGCTCGTATTTTGTTTGCATTGAAATCTACCAAGTTAATGGATCCCCATTCGAGAAGTGTTGCCAAATCCATATTCATGCTGTCAACATTTCATCCTCTTTCTTTTCTGATTTGCCTTGCTGGAAGAGAAGGCGGTATGGAGGGTACTATCGTCCGCGATGCTGTGTACTGAACATGAAGTCTGCTTCCAACAAATCGTTGATATGGAGTAGAAATAGTGTTGGTGATAATTCGGTCGGATGAGCTTTCTGTTTACATCTGCCTCCGCCTGTTCCTGTCTGTCATTGTCTGTTTCTATATGTTTCTATCTATCTCTGTGTTTCTATCTGTTTTTATCTTTTTCTATTTTTTTCTATCTGTTTCTACCTGTTTCTTCCTGTTTTTCGAATCTATTGCTGCGAAACTCGGAAATTCATAGATATCTATCGTTATCAGGTCAGGGAACAGTGATGAGGAGCGAATTCTATTCGGAGAACGGCGACGAACCGGTCGGACAAGTCGCTGTGACAAAATTCTCGACCGATCCTGATGACTAGCGTGACGATGGTGCAGCAGTTCGGCGCAAAGAGCGTGCCAATGTTTCTCTATCTGACTCTCTCTCTTTATTTCTGTTCCCTTCTGCCTCCATCTGTTCCTGTCTGTTATTGTCCGTTTCTGTATGCTTCTATCTGTTTCTGTGCTCCTATCTGGTTCTATTTGTTTTTGTCTATTTCTAACTGCTTCTATTTGTTTCTATCTGTTTTTATCTGTTTCTATCTGTTTCTATCTGTTTCTATCTGTTTCTATCTGTTTCTATTTGTTTTTATCTGTTTCTATCTGTTTCTATCTGTTTCTATCTGTTACTATCTGTTTCTATCTGTTTTTATCTGTTTCTATCTGTTTCTATCTGTTTCTATCTGTTTCTATCTGTTTGTATATGTTTCTATATGTTTCTATCTGTTTCTATTTGTTTCTATCTGTTTCTATCCGTTTCTATCTGTTTCTATCTGTTTCTATCTGTTTCTATCTGTTTCTATCTGTTTCTATCTGTTTCTATCTGTCTCTATCTGTTTCTATCTGTTTCTATCTGCCTGTATCCGTCTTGTTCCATATCTATTTGTCTCTATCTGTCTTTATGTATTTCTGTCTGTCTCTATATGTCAAAATCTGTCTTTGCCTCGCTATTTCCTCGAAAATTCATGAATTTCTATCGTTATCAGTTCAGGGAACAGTGATGAGGAGCGAATTTTATTCGGAGAACGGCGACGAACCGGTCGGACAAGTCGCTGTGACAAAATTCTCAACCGATCCCGACGACTTGAATACGAACGACTACCACGTGAACGATCAGGGGGTGTCTAGCGTGACGATGGTGCAGCAGTTTGGCATGAAGGGCGCGCCAATGAAGAATGCTATTTCGGACAAGAGGAGTAAGGTCGGTATACAGTGTGAAAGTATTTGCAAACTCATTTGAAACAGCTTGATCGAAATATATTGAAAAGTTCAAACGGACCCGTACCGCCGCCGATGTTTTTGAATTTGTCCCGAGTAACTTTGCGAATACCGTCTAAGTTTTCCTCACATGAGATGTTCTTATTATTGTATTTTTTGCGCGTATTTGAATTTTAGTAACACTTTTTACACTGAATGTATGATAACAGACGATCGGTGGAGATCGTTGAATTCTTGGTATGTTGTGAATATCAATTGACATAACGCAAGTTTTGATTGATTGATTGATTAATAGCAGAATGATCAGTCAGGGTTCGAGGCCCAAAACACTGCAACATTTTGGGCTATTATATTTCTGATCATGCTGTTGACTCAGATGAACAGGTTCGCTACCTTGATAAGGCTTAGCAGTCTCTTCCCCAGATCATTCGTTGGAAAAGCCTCTTGAGAGTTTAATGCTCCCAGAAGGTTGTATCTTCAACGCCATAGTGCTTCGCCCTCCAATATTACATGGGTGGCAGTTTCCTCCTCCTAACTGCATAGTCTGCATATGGGTACGTCTGTATAGATGCCCATTTGATGCATTTGCTTCCTCAAGGGGCACTGACCGGTTAATAGTCCCGTCACTTGTCTAATCTGACTTCTGTTTAGGCTCAAAATGTCGTTAGTCACTGTCCTGGATAGTGTTTCAACCAATAGTTTACTGTGTCTTAGTCCTGGAACATTGTTCCAGTATACCTGACGTCTTTCTTGCGTCCACCTTGCCAGCCAGCCGCGTATTGAGGTTTTGGGGATACCGAACACAGGTTCCGGTCCCATATAAACACGCCGCAGACCCTTGTCTAGCGAGAGCGTCAGCTGCTTCATAGCCTTCGATTCCCTTATACCCTGGCACCCATTGAAGAGTTACCTTGTTGTGGTTAGCCAGGGTGAGCAGGCTTTGAAGGCAATCCCAGACCAGTCTTGATCAGATTTTATTGCATGTTGAAGATTGAATGACCCCCTGACTATCTGAGCATATAAGGATTTGTTTACCTCTGTATCTCTTCACGATATTCTTTCTCAGACATGCCTCAATATCATGCACCTCTGCCTGGAATACTGAAGCATACCTCCTCGAGGAAGCACATATCCTAGTTCTGGGTCTATCTCCATATATTCTGGCTCCCGTACCCTCATCAGTCTCAGATCCATCATTGTACCACAATAACGTGCCTTCCTGACAGTTAGTCAAGACCATTTCATCCCAGTGGAGCTGAGTTTTGAAGGGTCTGTAATAGTTATTTCTAGGCAGTATTTTGTCACTTTCCAATTCCCATTAGTGGGCTTGAAAGTTTTGATAATAGGCACAATTTCCATCAGCTATTAACGTTTTTCGAATTGTTTTGAAAGATCTGAATTTGAATCTCGATATAAAGAAATCTTGTACATAATTTTAGGTTCGTTTCGAGAGAAATACTGTTCATGAACTCCAAATTTGCGTTAAAAATGAGAGTCTTTGATGTATTGCAGCAGAACCGCAAGGAACAAACCACATCGAGCGATGAAAAATCGTCCAAGTTAACCCGGAGGAATTCAGTGAAGGCAATCTCTCAAAAGTTCATCGATAATGCAGGTTTGTTCTCTAGGTTATAGTTAGATAGATATTTTTTTCTAGTCCACGGGGGATGGGTATTGATACGAAATAATATTCTTCTAAGGCTATGAAATGAAATTTCTTTCGTTTTCATCGATAAGTCAGTGAGGTACAGTTGTGTCCATAAACAAGTGGTACAAGGTTTGTATGGTGTAAATCTGCCTATGATGTTCCAAATTGCATTAAAAAGTAATACAACGTAATACATTTGCGCGTTACTGATAAAGATAGTTTGAATTTTAACACTACTTGTCAAAGTCGATAAGAATGAGATTAATCAAGATTGACAAGCCTGACTCACAATAGCCTGTAACTGCTGTACAACTTGTTTATGCACACAAATGTACTTTGAATGTCATCAATTATTTTATTTCCGTATCTGATATCACAATAATGACTTGATTGTGTTATTATTTCACAAAATATTATCTCCCATGAAATGAGAAATTTCAAGCATTGACAGCTCTGCCTAATAGATGAACATTACTTAAGGAAGAGTCAGATGAAATTAAAAATGTTGCTGTTATCTGTTACAGCCGTAGAAAAGTATGATGTAAATCTCGGACAGAATGCTCATTTTCCACTCGTATCACTTCATTCCCGTGGGAAATGAGAATCATTCCGTGCTCGTTAAACGATATACTATATATCCTATGGAATTTACGTCGATTCAGGTATACAGGGTGTTTGGGTCACCGACGTATATCGGGAAGGAGGTGGTAGGTTCTGTGATTCTGCATATCCAACCATATACTATTAAATATACCTAGTTCCGCACTTTTCGAGAAATCATCGCACATAAATTCGAAGTTGGATGTTACGAAACATTGTTTTTCAAATACTTACGAGCCAAAATATTGTTTCATCACATCTAGATCTCATTACCTGTTCAATATCGATAAAATACGTATTGAATTCCTTAAGAAAAAATTAAGAGATACTTTCAGATATCACAATTGAGAAAACGATGATTTCTCGAAATCCAGAACAATCTCCATAATGGTATATATATATGGTCGAATATGTTTGAAATTTTCTCATTTATCATCGCCTTTCATATATACGTCGGTGTAAGGGGCTTTCCTGAATCCATGTTTATACACTCACCGGCAAAAAACCGGCCAGCAAAAAAGTAAATTTATCGCCTTGTAACTTTTTTATTTCTCTCCCGATTTCAGTGAAATTTCGACCAAATCCTAGAATCATGTTCCGAAATGTTGACCTGATTTATACAGTCATTATACAGGAAGAAACAAAAGAAGAAAAATTACATTACTAGTTCATACCAAGAACTTCCAACTGCAAACTCGAACTTTCCGACTGATAAGTAGATAATTCAAGACATGAAGTTGAAAAAATCAAATTCAGAGCTGAACATATCAAGTTTCAATTCGGAAAATGAAATTCCCAGTTATAGGTCTTTGATCTGAATATGAAATACTCTGTATAAAGCCAGGATGTCCAGGTGTATAAAGTCTGAATTTTCGACTCGAAGCTCAGTAAAAATTCGGAATTTCGAAGTTTCCTACTGGTGATGAGAAAATTCCTATCATATTGAAAATGCATGAAAAGACAGCACAAAACAACCGTGTCGTCCTTCAAATTATTAATTTTTTGTCCAAAACGAAAATTCACAGACCGTAGAAGAAGTCAAGGATAAAAGAGTAACTTTTGTAATTCCTTGTATAATAATCGAACATCAGCTTTTTCTGAAGGATTAAAATTTACTCCGAAATATTAATCTACGATTTGGTCGAAATTTCACCAGAATCGGACAAGAATTGAAAAAGTTCTAGGGTGATCAATTTGTCAACATTTTTTGCCGATAAGTTTTTTTTGCCGGTGAGTGTAAATATTTTTTTAATATTTTTGTTCCTAGCATTTGTAGTTGAAATATTTTCATGTGATTTCTAGACACCCACACGAGTTATTACCTTAGGATTAATTATTCCACATCAAAGCACAATTTTTTACTGATATGAATGGACGGAATATTTCTATTTTCTTTCATGGAACATATTATTCTTCGTGTCGCCGTTCCATATGATTCACCCTGTAGTAACATCAGTTCTACCTAATTTGGCACAACATAAAAACGTACGGAATTTTTTGCTAGCTGATAACGATACTTGCCCGAATACCTCACTTCATCTGTTGTGCCTAAATTGAGCGCATCGCGTACGTTGAAATTAAAATAAAATGCCGAGAGAGATTATGACAACGGTTAGTTCTTCGGAATTTGATTCCGACTGTGAAAGTGAAAGTGATAGAAACCGGAAAAAGAAGAGAAATAAGAGGAAGAGGGAAATGCAATTTGAAAAACTCAGGAAGAAAATAGCTCGTCTAGAAAGGCAGTTTGACCTATCCCAGTCATCTGATCAAGGTAAAATCCGTAGTATAAACGTTTATACAGTGAGGTACATACCTACATACTTATATTTTCAATTCCCTGTTTGAAAATATACGGCAGTCCTGTGACTTGCCTAGAGGCAAATCTGTTTTTGCATCTTGTCAGAATCAGCATCATATTCGATCGGGTAGTCACGTGACTTACCATATATACGATCGGGCGGACGTGTGTCCTGCCACTTATACTTTTTCTTTTTCACTACAGATACATCTGAATCCGAAACAGGACCTATTCTTGAGACAACTCAGGCTCAGGTACATGTGGACACACCTCCTGTTACAGCTGTTACAGCAATACTAGGCGCTGATCCCACTGTACCTAAAGCTAATTCTATTATATTGCATGAAGAGCTTGTCGTGCGATGGACAGTTTACCTAGAAAAAGGGATAGACAAAGAAGTTAAGAAAGAATTACTAGGAAAATATCCAATTGCTGAAAATTGTCCAGGTCTGAACCCTCCAAAGTTGAACCTGGAGCTTCCAAGTTGCCTACCTGAACCAGTTTTAAGACAAGATAAATTTTTCGCTCGGTGTCAAGAAGAATTAGCTTCTAGTTTAACTGCAATAGGATCTCTGATGAGTCAGTTTCTGGAGGATCCAGAAGCGAACAAAGAACCCCTTGGCGTGATGGCAGATTCAGCTCAAATATTAACAAATCTTCATAACACTTTGTCTGCTCATAGACGTTACGTCATTATGCCTCACGTTAAAGCTGACATCAAAAAAGTTTTTGAAGAAGCGGGAATCGGGGAATTTTTATTTGGTCCTGATCTCCACGAAAAAGTGAAAACCAACATTGCTGTCAGGAAAGCGGGATCAGAAATGAAGACTCCAAATAAAACTTGGCAGCCTAGGCCGGGACCTTCGACTTCAACTCCAAGGACCACCGTCCAGACACTTCCTGGGTCTTTAAACTACCAGCGCCCCAAATTCAGGACAAAACTGAAAAAAGGGAGGGGAGAAGTGGAAAGGTCACACCGCTACAACAGGTACCAGAAGGACCCCCAGAGGACTCGATATCAAACTCGTCGTTGATTCAGGTACGAAACGTATATGCAGGTGCTTTAAAATTGTTTTATACACATTGGGAAGGAGTTACTCAAGATAAATCTGTATTAGGTTGGGTTCAGGGAATGAAAATACCTTTCGAACGAACACCATTACAGTTTCGAGCACCTAAGATACACATTTCAGAAAAGGAATTGAATTATATGAGACAAGCTGTTTCTAATTTATTGCATGATGGAGCGATTTCTTCATGTCAGCACAAAAATGGTGAATTTTTATCATCATATTTCCTTGTTAAAAAACCAAATGGTAATTTTCGTTTTATTTTGAATCTAAAGAATTTGAATAAATTCATAACACCACCACATTTCAAACTTGAAGATACAAGAATGGTCCAGAAGTTAATTACACAAAATTGTTTCTTCACTAATTTAGATTTAAAAGATGCTTATTTTTCAGTTCCAGTGAATGAAAAATATAGGAAATATTTAAGATTTGAATTTGAGAATAATCTTTTCGAATTCAACTGCTTGCCATTTGGTCTTAATATAGCTCCCTATATCTTCACGAAATTATTAAAACCTGTTTTGAAATCATTGAGGCTCAAGGATATATTATGTATAGCTTATTTGGATGATCTTTTGATCATAAGTAACACAAAATCTCAATGCGAAATCAATACAAAAACAACTATAGTTCTTTTAACATCCTTAGGATTCCGAATTAATTATGAGAAAAGTACCTTGATTCCATCTCGTGAAATAATATATTTAGGTTTCCATTTTAGGAGTGATTCAATGATAATTTCATTGCCTGTTGACAGAAAATTGAAAATTTTTGATAAATTGAAAGAAATGTATAGTAAAAGTGTATGTAAGATACGAGAGTTTGCAAGTTTACTAGGACTGCTGGTTGCAGCTTGTCCAGCAGTTCAATACGGCTGGCTCTACACCAAAAAGTTTGAAAGAGCAAAAAGTTTAGCTCTACACCTCAACAATAAAAATTATAACAAATCAATGGCTGTTAATATCTCTCTGAAAGAAGACTTCGAATGGTGGTTGAGAAATATTATGGAATCCTACCAATATATTAAACAGAAACCCTTCGAGTTGGAAATTTTTTCTGACGCTTCTAGAACAGGCTGGGGAGCGTTTGCTGGTGACGTAAATACACATGGGTTCTGGAGTGATACAGAGAAAATACATCATATCAATTATCTAGAGCTTTTAGCAGCCTTTTATGCCCTAAAAACATTCACAAAAAACAATCTAAATACTTCTATATTATTAAGGCTAGATAATATCACAGCTATATCGTGCATCAACAAGATGGGTAGTGTTCAATTCGAAAACTTGAATTGCATAACAAGGAAAATTTGGAATTGGTGCGAAGAGCGAAAATTAAATATATTTGCTTCATATATAAGCTCCTCTGATAATATTGAGGCAGACCTTGGGTCGAGATCTCAGTCAGTGTCAACCGAATATGAATTATCAGATAAAGTTTTCAAGTTAATTTGTAAGGAATTTGGAAATCCAGATATTGATTTGTTCGCAACTAACTTGAATACTAAATGTAAAAATTATGTTTCATGGTATCCAGACCCTAATTCCCTATATGTAGATGCTTTCACGATACCTTGGAAATGCTTTTATTTTTATGCATTCCCTCCATTTGCCATCATAGCTAAAGTATTAGAAAAAATTTTGAATGATGATGCAACCGGTATAGTAATAGTGCCGCTTTGGCCAACGCAGCCCTGGTACCCTCTATTCCATAATATGGCAACAAAAACTATGTATTTTAATCCTAGTCCTGAATTGCTTGTATCCCCTTTCAGAAAGAGTCATCCGCTCCACAAGGATCTTACCCTGGTTGCAGGAATTTTGTCGGGGCAGCACTCAGAAAGAAACATATCCCAGATTCCGCAATTCCAATATTATTAGCCTCATTGAGCGAAAATACGTTGAAACAGTATAATGCATGTTTCAACAAATGGTGGTTGTTCTGTCAACAACATGAATTAGATCCATTTGTTCACGATTTTAATAATATCATCGACTTTTTGAGATCACTTATTGATTTACGAGTTTCTTATTCAACGTTAAATAGTCATCGATCAGCTTTAGTATTGGTTTTTCAGTTTTCTGAGCTCGAAGAGAAAACTATTCGAAGGTTCATGAAAGGGGCATTCAAAATGAATCCTTCTCAGCCAAAATATTCTTCTACATGGGATCCAAATCCAGTACTGGTTTATTTAGAAAAGTTGTTTCCTTTGGAAAAAGTGTCATTGGAAGACTTGACTTTAAAATTAGTCACGTTGATGGCCCTAACTACGGGTCACAGAGTGCAAACTCTATCAAATATTCGTTTAGATAATATAAAAATAACAGATTCCAACATAGAAATCAAGATTTCAGATAGAATTAAGACTTCTGGTCCTAAGAACCTACAACCATGCTTGGTTTTTCCCCTTTTTCAAAGAAAAACCGAACCTTTGTATTGGATCAGTTATTATTCATTATATTAAAATTACCGAGCCCCTCAGGTCCCCTGAAGAAGAATATCTTGTCCTGACCCATAAAAAACCTCATCACAAGGCTTCTCCCCAATCAATAAGTCGATGGATCAAATTAACATTGAAAAGAAGCGGAATTGATACCAATATTTTTTCTGCACATAGCACTCGGCATGCCTCAACTTCAGCCGCACTAAGAAATGGTGTTAATATTGACTCCATAAAAAATACTGCCGGCTGGACACAAGGTTCTGCTATCTTCAATAAATTCTATAATAGACCCTTAAGGGCAGATCCTGAAATCTTCGCAAGAACTATTTTGCGACAGACCTAAGTATAGGACATGTTATGTATTTCTTAATACTAGGTAATATTTTGTTAATAAACATACCTACCTATCGAGGATAAATTTATTAAAAATGTTATCTCTCAGATACACTTATTTCCTTTATGTTAATTTAGTTAATTAATAATCATAATCATGATTTACATGTTATTACATTTTCTCATATTATTTATACTCATTGTGAGACTTAACAATCCATGAATATATTGTTTTGGGATAGATCGCATTTTTCTGCTTTGAACATCTACAGGGTGAATCATATGGAACGGCGACACGAAGAATAATTTAAAGATTAATCGACTTACCTGAAGGACGATCAATCTTAATTATTCGAGTGGAGCCGTTCCATATGATTCCAAACCCACTTCCGCCCAATATACCTACCCTATAATGCGATCTATGATGGCTATTTATGCCCAACGATGAAGTGAGGTATTCGGGCAAGTATCGTTATCAGCTAGCAAAAAATTCCGTACGTTTTTATGTTGTGCCAAATTAGGTAGAACTGATGTTACTACAGGGTGAATCATATGGAACGGCTCCACTCGAATAATTAAGATTGATCGTCCTTCAGGTAAGTCGATTAATCTTTAAATTATATGCCTCACAAAAGTAGACATTTTCATCAGTTTTCATTTTTCATGTCTCAGTTTAAAATCCTGAGAGTTATGTGGAACCCTTTTTTTCAGTGGAAACTGCCAAGAACGAAAAACAAACGGTATATCCAAAAGCAGGATTGATCCTGAGGACTTCCAGCTTCAAATCTACAGGAAATGGATCTAACGAAGAAATAACTTCAGGTTTGTTCAATATATCAACACAATCTACTGTGTGTTTCGAATATTAATCGAGAAAGTTTGATAAGCGATAGTACCCGCAAAAATGAAAAAAATCCACATTCATTTATTTCTTCATTTTAATTGACTCGGCCTTGAGTAAAATGTTAGAATTTTTCAATTTGTCGATTTCTAATGATTCAGAATGATTGAGTTCTATTCCTTTATTTTCTACGTGTAGAATTTCGAAATAATCAACTATGTTTTTTTTCTAATATATGGTTGGCGTATGTTGAATTCGTTTTCTTTTCCAAAAAATTCATCTTATGTTCATGAATGCGCTGATTGAACGTACGACCTGTCTGACCGATATATCCCTTAGAACAAGATCCACAGTTGAGTTTGTATTCCCCTATATCGAAGACTGGAATCCTTGACACGATAATACACTATACACTGTTTTACCGCTAACCAAAACGACTTTTTACGCCTTGACACGTGTTTTGCTAACTATGTTAGCATCTTCAGGAGAAGATTAAAACTTACCTGTCAAGGCGTGAAAAGTCGGTTTGGTTCGTGTTTAAACACTGTGTATAGTGTTGTACACCCCTGATTTTACGAATTTAGAAGTTTTGTTTCTATTATTTTTGATAAACTTTCCAACATGTTATTTGTTCTATATGCTACTTTTGAGTCCTGTTAATGTAGAAATGAAGCTATAATTTTTTGTTGATGATCCGGAATAGGATAAAGTTTACTTCAACCTATCAGACAAAACTTCATCATGTAACGCTATAAAATGGTGTTTCTCGAGTAATAGGAAAGATAATGGAGTGAATTCGAAGAAAAAATGTTGAAAAAAGATAAGACTAGAGTGTGATTCCAATTCTAACTCGATGGTGTAACTATTACACTCGGCAGGGTATTACAAATTTTATGAAAAAGAGGTTTTTATGCATATCTGGAGAACTAAAAAACAAATCATTCTGGAAATTAGGATACTTCGATAATTGAACATTTTCTATTCGTCTAAAATGTTTTCATCGATACAGTGTTGCCACTTCTATCAGAAACAACTAGCAACTTCGTTATTTTAAATGGAGCACCCAGTATTTTAGTGCATTTTTAGATTCTTACTAAAGAGCTGATTTCATCGAGTCAACACACTTGGGGTCTAGCAGGAATAATTACAGAGATATAGGATGTTCAAAATCGAGATTTTTCAATTACGGAATTTTTCGTGTCGAAACTATTCATTATCGATCAAAACGAATCACATATCCCCATCTCAACTTTCGATCCACTATCTACTGACATTTAATTGGGACAGATACAGGGTGATCAGAATTATGAATCTTGAAGCACCCTGTATTTTTTCCAATTGAATTCCAGTAGATAGTAAATCAAAAAATGAAATAGGGACATGTAAATCCTGAAACTAAAAATTCTAGATTTTGAATACCCTCTATATCTCTGTAATCATTTCTGCTTGACCCCAAGTATGATACATCGATGAAAACAACTCCTCAGGAAGAATCTGAAAATGCAATGAAATACAGAGTGTTTCGTTTGAAATAACAAAGTTGCTAGTTGTTTCTGATAGAAGTGGCAACACTGTATCGATGAAAACATTTCAGACGAAAAGAGAAGGTTCAATTATCAAATTATTCCAATTTTCAGAATGTTCTTTATTTTCGTTCTCCAGATACTTCTAATAGGCCATCCAACGTGACCCACCCTGTATACAGGCTGATTCACGGTGGATGGCACATTAGATGTTTCTGAGGAACACAACTCATGATTATACTGAGAAGTCGGTGCCTTGGATAGTAACTTTTGTGTTCTATCGACCTAAAATATTCTCAGTGTTGTGACGTTGCCGCTTATATTGAAAAGTAGCACCAACTTTGATTTTTTAAATAGAATACCCTGTATATTATTCCATTTCAGAATTCTTCCTGAAGAGCTGACTCTATTGACCCATAACACTTGGGGTCCAGCCGTGATAATTACAGAGTTATAAGATGTGAAAAATCGAGAATTTTCAATTTTTGGAATTTTTTGCGTCAATACTATTCATAATTGGTCGAAACGGTTTCCTTGTCCCTATCTTAAATTTAAATGAACTATCGATTGATATACAATTGGAATAGATACAGGGTAGTCAAGAAGTTAAGATAGGGACATGGAAACCATTTTGACCAATTATGAATAGTCTCGACACAATAATTCCTAAAGTTGAAAAATCTCGATTTTTCACATCCTATAACTTTGTAATTATTACTGTTGGACCCCGAGTGTCATGGGTCAATGGAATCAGCTCTTCAGGAAGAATTCGAAAATGGAATGATATTCAGGGTGTCCTACTTGAAAATTCATAGTTGTTGCTACTTTTCAATATACGCGGCAACGTCGCAACACTATTCCAGGTCGATAGAACACGACTAATTATCCAAGCGATAAAAAAAACTACTTCTGATGAAAATAATTCCTAAACTTTTGGCTACTTTTTGGCGGAGCGTCAATTCCTTGGAGATGTGTAAGTATAAACTTCGTCAATTTTTCCAAAACAGATTCAACAGATGCAGAAATCACCACCACATCCACCACATACACCACCAAATCCTCAGCTGGTGGAACCTTCCTCACCAAGAAAACGCGCGTTTCCGGGATCAAAGACGTGATCGACAGGATGCAAACCACCGAAACGCAAGATGGCGACACCGAAGACGATGCGAACGCCAGGACTTTGCTTAACAAGTTCCTGGGATCGCAAGTTATCCTTTCCGGGATAGAAAGTGGTTCTGAGAGTGTTACTCCTTCGGCTACTACTACGGTCAGGAGGTCCACCAGAGTGACGACTACCGTTGTGGTGAGTGAATCAAGCATGAACTTTCGTTTTATTTTCATTATTTTGCGTTCCTTCCACTGATTTAACCCTTTCGCTCATCGTGTCCTCAAATCAATCAATCAATCAATCAAATCATTTATTTTCCATAACTGACAACATACATTGTATAGGAATAGTCAAAGATACTAAGAAACTATGAAACTTACGAACTAAAAGAAGAAATAAACTAGAAAACTTACAGACTAATGAGTGTATATGACAAATAGGAATATTACGTACACAAAAACTCGTTCACAGTATAAAAAACTTTGCCAACTAAAAATATTTTGATTTGTTTCTTGAATTCCATTTCCTTTTCACAGTTTTTCATTGATTCAGGTAATTTGTTGAATAATCTTGGCCCAATAAAGTTTGGCGATGAACTGGTAATATTCAATCTGGCAAAGGGTATCCGCAAGTTATTTTTTGTCTCGTAGTGAAATTGTGCGTATCATAATTTTTCGATGTAACTTCTCTATTTCTATGGACAAATAAACATATCTCAAAAATGAATAATCCAGTCAGAGTTAATATGTTCAGTTTTTTGAAGAGATCTCTGCAAGAGGGTTGTCTTGGTTTTCCTGTTAAGCACCTTACAATTCGTTTTTGTGCAATGAATAATAATATGTTCTTAGAATGTATGGAATTGCCCCAGAAGTTAATTCCATATCTAAAACGAGATTCCACCTGTGCATAGTAAAAGTTTATCAATTGTTCATGAGTCAAAATAGTCTTCAAATTGTATATCAAGTAATAGAATGAGTTAAGTTTAGATGTTAATGATTCACAATGTGTTTTGAAATTTAAATTCTTGTCTAGTTCAATACTCAGAAATTTCACAGTATCGCTGGTTACAAGTTGTTGACTAGATAGTTCGATAATGAGATCCTCACTGCTGTGACGTTGAGCTGTCTGAAATCTGACGATAGATGTTTTATCTGGATTGAATGATAATTTATTCGACGAAAACCATCTCATCAAAGACTCTAATATAAATTCACATTCATTTTGTAGGATATTATTGGATTTGTTCGAAATAATCAATGATATATCATCAGCATATAATGTGAAATGAATCCTAGGAAATATTGTACCAATTTCATTAATGTAGAGAAGAAATAGTATAGGGCCTAAGATAGGACCTTGTGGGACACCTACAGTGACTTCTAAATTAGAAGATGATGCATTTTCTAATTTATTCTGATTTTTATAATTTATGCTCACATATTGCTCGCGATTTCTCAAGAAAGATGCTAACCGTAGGAATTTAGTTTATCTAGTAGTTTTGCATGATCGACACAGTCAAAAGCCTGACTAAGATCACAAAAAATACCCGCCGGACTTTCGCCGGCCTCGATGAATTTCAATATTTCTGAATAGAAGGACTTTATAGCCGTGTTGGTAGACATACCAGGGCGAAAACCATGTTGTTGTTCACTTACAATTTTGATTTTTTTCAAAAACTTCTCTAATCTGTCAAGAAAATCATATTCTAATATTTTGGAAAAGCTACTCGGGACAGTAATTGGTCGATAATTACTGAGCTGTCGAGTATCATTTTTTGTTGTGAACTGGAATAATTTTTCCGATTTTCAGCATTTGCGGAAAGCGTCCCGTTTCGAATGACAAATTTACCAAATACGTGATCGGAAGAATAATATGAGGTAGTGATAACTTGAATAAAAAATTCGGAATTTCGTCGGGCTCAGCTGATTTTTTATTTTGAATGAGGACAGCCTCTTTATAAATTGATTATGTTGAGCTCTGTTTGTTTCCACTGCAATATTCTTTCGTTCCTAGATTATGATAGTTTATTATTCAAAATGAACATATACAGGGTGTCCCAAAATTAGCGTGTCAAACTCCACCAGCGGCTTCTACAATCAAAAATAGGAAGGAAAATTTCAATGAATATGAGACGAGAAATGTCTCCTAAGGGAGCTACGGCCCCCTGAAAGGGGGCTCCTGAAGATGACATTTCTGGAGTATTCTCGAAACCCCATGTTTTTTTTTATCGCTTGGAGCGCACGAAAGGGAATCCCTATAATGTTCAAAGAACATCGTGCGTTCCTAGGGAGGATAGGGACAGGAGGTAGGTATTGGCATTTTTTTTTGAACTTTTGGAGATTATATGTTGTTGGGAATACTTCCACAGGCAATGCATTCCAGAGCCTAGCCGTTCTATGGATGAAGGAGTCTTGATAAAGTGCTGTTCGACATCTTTCGAAGTTGACAACGAAAGGATGTGCTGACTGGGCTTGTCTAGTTCGTCTGATTGGTATTGCTAGTGAAGGGATGATAGCAGAGATTTCCGAAGTACATTTCCCGTATCGATAAAAAAGTGGAAGGTCGCCGACCTTTCTACGGTGTTCCAATGATGTCAAAGAGTGTGTGAGTGTGGCGTCACCCACCAGGCGAATGGCTCTTCTCTGGATGGAATCTAAGAGCATCAGCGTATGTTTTGGTGCTGAACCCCATATGTGGGAACAGCATTCTAGAAAAGGCCGTATCTGCGCTTTGTAGATCATGAGAAGCTGTTGAGGTGTAAAGTAGCTTTTCGCACGGAACAAGAATCCGAGTTTTTGTGAAGCAGCTTTTGCGATGGATCTGATATGATTATCCCATGAAAGAGTGTTGCTGATGGAAATACCGAGCATAGATATGGTGGGCTTGGTGGGGATGGTGGAGCCAGACATCACAATATCGGGCATACTGAGTTCCGCCTTTCTAGAGAAAATGCAGGCTTGAGTTTTGGTGGCCTTGAATTCAACTAGGTTGTTTGTTCCCCAGGCTGTGATTTCAGCAAGATCTTCATTGACAGCATTGACCTGCCTGCGCCGTGAGTTCTTAGTTTCCTGGGAAGAAATGGGAATTCTGGAAGAGAACGCAGTATGGAGGGTACTATCATCTGCAAAGCTGTGGATGGGGCAAGTTGTTACTCCCAACAGATCATTGATATGAAGCAGGAAAAATGTTGGTGCCAAAATTGATCCTTGTGGAACGCCGGAATTGATGCCAATGGTATCAGACGATACACCGTCCACCACCACGTGAAGCGATCTGCCTGAAAGAAAACTCGATAAGAGATGGCATAGCTGAGGTGGTAAGCCGTATGATGGTAGTTTGTGGAGGAGTCCTTCGTGCCAAACACGGTCGAATGCTTTCGAAATGTCCAACGCGACAGCTAGAGATTCCCCGTGTTTTTCTATTGAAGATTGCCATAAATGGGTGACGTAGGCAAGTAGATCTCCAGTAGATCTTCGGTGGCGAAAGCCGTATTGTCTATCATTGATGATTCCTGAGCTCTCCAGATATTTGATAAGCTCAATATTGATGGCTTTCTCCATCACTTTGGAGATTACTGATAACAGGACAATGGGCTTGTAGTTGTTGGGCAGGTTCTTGTTCCCTTTTTCGGGGATTGGTTGGACTCTAGCTGTCTTCCAGCATGATGGAAAAATATCCGACCTGCACGAGATGGTAAACAACTTGCAGAGAATCGGTGTTAATTCTGGTGCACATTTTTTGAGGATAATTGGTGGAATTTCATCAGGACCGTTAGCCTTATTCGTATTTCCTAGAAAAAATATGGATAGCAAGAGAATTGGACGTCCTGATTTCGAATCCAAAGTGATTTCCAACCTATCTTGCCTCCTAATATCATTTTCATGGGTCGTTCCATGGATGTTGGCGAAGATGACTCCACTTGGCCATAGTGTATATTTTCAGTTTATCTTCCGCTCTTGCAAATTTCAGAATCCTAACTCAACAATTACGAAAGTTATAGGGGTGTTTCCATTAGAAGTGAGACACACTGTATATATTCTTAATCTTTGTGAAAAGAAACATCTGTAACTATATACACTGTATATATCAGGTGATATTGTTGATCACCATATAAGATCTACTTCGACGATTAGATTACCTCCCTAATAACACTTATGTCCCATGGATATCCTTAGGACGTCCTGTCGGGACATTCTGGACGTCCATAGGACGTCTGAATTTGGTACCGTGGACATACATTGGACGTCTGTGGGATGCACAAATGTCCCTCTTGAGTACCAACTAGGGACGTCCTTGAGGGATGTCCCTGGGACAACTATCGAATACCTATAAATCCTACAGTATTCCTCATCGAGCACTACAGAGGACACCCTTAGGACATTCATAGGACAACCTATCAGCAACGCTGAGGGATATCAATTGGATGTCCATAAGATGTCCCAGGGACGTACGAATTATTCTTGAATTTGAATTTTTCTAGGTCGTCCCTCTAGGACCAGATCTTGCATAACTGATTAGGACATCCAGTTGAGTTGATGGTCCGTAGGAGGTCTCCAAAAAGTTTTCCAAGGATGTCCAATGGACTTACGTGAAGGACATTGACGAGGAGTACTTATAGCCTACGAGCAATCATTCGCCGGCAAGGTGTAAGTTAACGTCCTCGTAGGGACAACATATTGAAAGTACCGACTGGGACGTCCATAGGACGATATTTCTAGGACATTGAAAGAGTACAGTCCATGTACCAATTGGGACATCCGACGGATATCCCTAAGGGACATTCGAAGGATGTCCCTAAGGAACATTTGGATTGTTATACAATCCTGGAAATATTAAGGGCGTCTGTGCAGAGATATTTGAAGGAATATACCATCAGCGACATTTCATGGTTGTCTAGAAGGGACATATTATATAAAATCTGAAGTCATGCCAGAATATTTACTACTCGGGACATCCGACGGATGTCCCTAAAGGAACGTTTAAAATCATATCCCATCAGGAACATGCCAAGGACGTCCTAATATGTTCCACGTGGGACGTCTAAGGGATGCTATTTCTAGGACATTTGAAATGATGTACCAGCTGGGACATTCCGTGGACGTCATTGCTCGGACATTGCATGAGATGTACGGGATGGGACGTCCCAAGGACACCTATTTTTGGTTCGGGACATTCGGACGTGAATTGTACCAAAT